TATTTTTATTAATTTTATTTATTTATTTATTTATTTTTGGTGCTTCGGCCCCCCAATTGTCTGAGGGACAGCAACCCGGCCCCCGGCTCAAAAAGGTTGCCTACCCCTGATCCAAGGTATCTAACCAAACACCAGCAAATACCAAGGGCACAGTGGAAATCTAATAAATAATAAATAATAAAATAATCATTGCATGAAATTTTACTGTGCCATTGTATATAATGAGAATTGAGTTGCCACAGATTTTGGTATTTTTTGGTATAGATTGCTATATCATTGGTATAGATTTTGGAAGCCTAGCAACCAAACCCCAGCAGATACCAAAAGTGCATTCTGTGTGTGTGTGTCTCTGTTTTGAGTGTCCAAAAGATAAGACTGGGTGTCCATTTAGACACACAATTGTTACGTTAATAGTTTTAATACTTGTTCAAAAGTCTGGAGACTAAAGAGAGGAGTAGCAGCCTGAAACACCCTGGCAAAGATCTAACTCCATTTTCAGTTTCCAGACACCAAGAAGGCATTGTTTGTCCATTAAACTCTATATAGGCTACATCTGCATTGCAGAAATAATCCAGTTTGACACCACTTTAACTGCCATGGCTCAGTGGTATGGAATTCTGGGAATTGTCATTTTGTAAGACATTTAACTTTCTCTGTCAGAGAGCTCTAGTGCCACGACAAACTACAATTCCCAGAATTCCATACCAATGAGTCATGAGAGTTAAAGTGGTGCCAAACTGGATTATTTCTGCAGTGTGGATGCAGCCATATACTGGAAAGAGGCAGCCATAAAGAGGAAAGATACATATCAATTTTAAGGCTTTGTGTCATTTTATTTTAAGTTAATTGATTACTCTGTGCAGCACTGTGTAAACCTACAGCACTTTATAAATGAATCTTAATAATAACCTGAATAAAGACCAAATCTCTACTTGCTTCAAAAAGATACTTTCAAGGGGCCCCACAACTCTCAGAACCCTGCCCAACAAGTTACTCTATAAGAGTAACTTTTCTGAGCTCTCTTCTTAAAGGAAAGAAGCCTTTGCCCCTTATAGGAGTGGCACAAACCTTGCATTTGCTACCTATGTATCTTCTGTATGCATTGGCTTTTGCTAGTTATTTTGAATTGGGGGCCCTTGCGCACTACACAGCTGTAGTGTTCCACTTTAATTCCCAGGATTCCATAGGAAGCAGTCATGGCAACTGAAATGCAATTGTAGTGCTATAATTGTGTTGTGTGAAAGAGCCCCTGGTAAAAATCACTGAAGGGGATAAGTTAATTCTAACTCTCCTTTGTCCTTTTTCTTCCTGATATGCAGCTTATTTTTATCCACATACATAACAAGGATATTTTGATGGGGAAAATTGCACACTCATTAGTCCGTTTCAAGAACGATGCTCAGGGAACCTGAGAAGAAGAAAAGTTTATCTCATGTTTCAGCGACCATTAATAATGTACCGTAACAGCCATCTTGCTGGAACAATCCAGCATCTCTGTCCAATAGCTGCTGGACACCTATCTCTGGAAACTTATAACCAGAGCGGGTGAAAAATAGTGGTACCCTATTGCTTGCCTCCGACACCTGGTCATCAGATATACTTCCTCTGAACATGAAGGTTTCATTTAGCTCTCCCACTGAATCACCAATACTAGCTGATTAATTTGCTTTTTCTCTGGTAGAATTCAAGGACAGAGAGATTCGGCAGCTGGATTTGTTGTTAACTGCCCTCGAGTTGATCTCAACCCATGGCGGCCCTATGGAT